CACCACTACCGCACGCCAACCACTACCGCACGCCGGGCACAAGAACCAAAGCGCCACCACACGTAGGCGGCCCTCCGCTTCCCTAGGCGGGACTTGGAAAAACCCAAAAACGGGATCGCCGCCAGGAGAGACCATCGGGATTCCTAAAGTCGATCGAACGGCTCAGAAAAACACACCGAGGGACAGGTAAGGAGCAAAGGGACGCCCCATGTAGGCCATGCCGACTCCGTCATGAACGACGAGCACGGGTCTTGGCCGGACATTTCCGACCGAAGCTCTTCAAACCCCGTCACTCGAGTCATCATGGTAACACTACCGACCCCTGCTATTTCTTTATTTAAATCATTTCATACATCCATACATGCATTCATTCCATATGCTCATGCCCCCCAGACGATTCAGGCCTTGAACCGCCAGGGGGCTCGGGAACTAAGCATCGCACATGCAACGAAATGCATCACAACGCTCCGTGTTGCGTCACGAAGCGATAGTTGCCTCATTTGACATGAGCAACGACCGACCAGGGTTCGAAGGCTGGCCCACGAAGGGCTTGAGGCCGCCCCACGTCAAACAGAGCCAGGGGAGAAAAACGCAGATGAGCCCTGTGTGGCCCTCGTCCAGTCTGGCAAACAGGGTAATCTCAACCTTCTCGTTCGATCCTAAGCCTCTGCCAAGCCCACATAATCTCCATCAAGGGGAGGCCATTAGGCCACTCGGGTCGGTCTCCGAAATGACCTAGGCATCTACCGGGTTGCAGATAAAGGAGCAGTGGAATGTCACAAGAGGGCTATGCCGACCCCGTCATGAACGACAGACCCGGATTCCACTGGATCATACCCGTTAGCGAGCTCACCGAGCGCGTCACTCAAGCCCGAGCCATTGAGGCAAGCAACAAAACTCAGCCCCTCTGGTTGTGAGAAACCGAGGATGGGGTAACGCACACAACTCAAAATCGACCCCTACCAAGGCTCAACGGGGCTCGGGGGCTCAAGACACCAAAACGCCTGGGTCTGCGACCCCAAACTCGCCCCATCCTGCTACGGCTGCACTTTAAAACTACCTAGGTCTGTGACCCCGAACTCGCCCCATCAGGATCCACGACTCCGACTCGCCCGATCCCACGTCGCACACCGACGCTAGGATCCACGAGCACCGTCTCATTCGATCTCAAAACCAACTAACTAACTGCCTCGGCCGCACGGACTACACCGAGGCCAGGGTCTGCGACCCCGAACTCGCCTCATCAAGATCCACGACTCCGACTCGCCCGATCCCACGGCGTGCACAGACGCCAGGATCCGTAAGCTCCGTCTCGTCCGATCCCTAAACTAACTAACTACCTCAGGCTACACGGGCTATACCGAGGTCAGGATCCACGACTCCAACTCGCCTGATCCCACGGCGCGCACCGGTGCTAGGATCCGCGAGCTCTGTCTCGTCCGATCCCTAAAACTAACTGCCTCGCCTGATCCACGGCAGGCACCGACGCCAGGATCCTCGGCTGTGCAATGACGCCTTGGTTGACGACTCCGTCTCGACCAAAAAACATGCACACACGCCCGCTGACAACACCCCCCAGACGATTCTGCCCGAATCGACCGGGGGCTCGGGGGCTACACCCGCAGGTGCGCTTGCGCGCACCCGCTGACGAAACAAAAAAAACTCCCCCTCTGGCAACACGCATAAACCCCCAAACGATTCTACCCGAATCGTCCGGGGGCTTGGGGGCTACACCCGCGGGTGCTCTCACGCGCACCCGCCGTCAAAAACAAAAATCCCCCAGACGATTCTACCCGGATCGCCTGGGGGCTTGGGGGCTCCTGTCGGGTTCATAAACCCGGGGTCCCTCATGGACCAGCTTCCCAACAGAGGCTCGGCCCAAGAAGACAGGGTAGAAGGGCAATCCAATCACCGACTAGAAGGTCTGGCCAAGGAGGAACGACACTCGTCTTCCGACTCCGGCCCACCTCTCCGACAGGAGCGCTCGCTCTGGTATCCAGCCCGCCTCCGGACAGTCTCTCCGACCCAAAGGCCTGGCCAAAGCACTACTTTCGACTCCGACCCGCGTCTCCGACCGGGGGTGCGCCAAACCCCTGCTCACTTCTCTTCTTCGACTGGCGCAATCAGAGCCGATTGGAACCAACCGACCGGGGACGCCCACTCGGTAAGGACCAAGGAACGAACAAAGAAAGCAAGGTAGGGCGCACAAGTCAAACCGCAATACCAGGGTCCGTACCCTGTGCACCTGCAGGAACAGTACTCTGCAACCTCCCTGGCACGACAGAGCCCAAACAATATTATAGGCGCCGATATTTTCCCCTACAGTATTGTGGGCGCCATTAACTCCCTTACGGTAAGGCTTTCCCCACATGTCTCTGGGCATCGACAGTGTTGTGAGCGCCGGTATTTACCGTACCAGGTGAACATGGTAAAACCCCTTGCATGCCTCCAGGTCTCGATAGTGTGGCGGGCGCCGACGTTTGCCATACCCGAAGAAGACAACACAACATCCCACATGCATCTGACATCCAAACAGTGTTGTGGGCGCCTACCATCATCCTGTACCCGCCGGTGTGGGCAACAAGGATTTGAAGCATACGTACTCTCTCCCTCTCACTTGTAAGGCCAGCTCCTTCATCTATAAAAGGGGATGCGCTCTCTCCCAACATTCAGATTCAAGATTATCCAGGTTGATTTAGAGTCATTTGATCGATCGAGTTCACTAGCACACAACCACCGAGCCGCCAGGTTCGAACCACGAGCACACGCTTGTGCACTTAGCTCATAGCGGGGCTCCCGTCGCTTTCGGTCCCTCTGACCAGAGTCCAACCAGACCTCTTGTACCCTCCATCTTTCTCATTCTCGTTTGTAACCCCACTGCAAACTTCGAGCACCTGGGCTTAGGAATAAAGTCACCGACCGACTCAAACTGGACGTAGGGCACGTTGCCTGAACAAGTATAAACCCTATGTCATTGAGTGCTAGGCCACCTCCGATCACAGCGTATGGCAAAACTATAAATATTTACTTGTTGGTCACTTTCTGCACCGACAGACATATTAGATCACCGGGTACCTGGTTGAGATAAGAGGACGATCATCCCTGTGAGATAGAATTGCCTGACTAAATGAAAGAGAACACGTATGAAGGTTCAGTTTCAACAGCATGGATCTTAATTAAAAACATAACTCACATGTTTCTAAACAGGTAAAAACATATAGGAGGCATAATTGAAAATTAAAGCAAAACTAAAAAAACATACAGAAGGCTACATCACATTCATCAGAGCATAAATGAGTTTGGTATTTAGACATACCCAAAAGACAGTAACCTCTGCTCGTGTACGTACATGATGAGCAATGGCATACGCTTGTATATGTTTTGAAAAGGTTCACAACAGTAACCGAAAGCTTTGAGACTTGGTTAGGTTTTTCTTTTTCAGAACACGAACTGTATGTGTAAGCAAAAATAATACATACATACAGAAAGTGAAATCAAGGGATTAGAGACATAAGGTGGCAAAGGAGTTAAAGGGGATTTTTTTAGGCTACCGCACCAAGCCCAAGGGAGGTCAAGGAGGAAGAAATAGAGCAGAGGATGGCCGCCGTTGTTGTCGCTGGCGAGTGTCTCGATGCGGGAGCAGGGCACCGCCGCGGGACGGGGCCAGCGCTGTGCTGCCCCGACCTATAGCACGGACAACTAGGGTTTCCTGGAGCATAGTAGCAGACACGGATCAGAGGGAGGAGGCAGCGTCGGGTGACGCCCGGGGCGCTTGCTTGGGCGAGGGCGCCGGGTCGTGGTCAGGGACGACCATCGCCGGTGGCCACGGGCGGAGCCGCGCCACAGGCCAGGAGCGCCGTCGTGCCCCGACCGCGTCTGGCGCAGTGAGCCGCGATGCTGGGCCGGACATCACGCCGGGGGGGAGGAAAAGGAGGAGGGTTGCAGCCGCCGCGCCTGCCGTCGTCGCCGTGTCCGTGTCACGCTTCCGCGTCGGGGCTAGGAGCGACGGGGTGAAAGATGAGAGGAGGAGCCGAGATATTCTAAGAAGTTTCGTGAAGGAGAAGTAGAAGCTGGACATATATTTGGTTGCCTGGTTTCGGACGAGAAGCAGGAGAGTCCAACGAGAAACAGGTGAGAAGCTGGATAAGGTAAGGAGAATCACGAGAAGTCGCTTTCAGTAAAATTTGCTTTACAAAATCTAGGTCGTCGGATGGGAAGATCGAACGGCTAACAATTATTAAGGTGACGTGGCGGCTGCTTCCTTTTGAGGAGCTAACGCTAGATACAGGAGTAAAATTTTGTACCGATATGTTTTCCCGTCTGCTGTGGCTAAAAAGCAAGGGACACATGATCGCCGACGCCTGGCCATCGATCCGACTCGAGTTCCAGAAGGATGCCTTTTCCCCATTATGAACTGTCAGGCCGCGTTTAGTTCCAAACCTAAAATCCTAAAAAATGCTACAGTAGGCATCACATCGAATCTTACGATACGTGCATGGAGCATTAAATGTAGACGAAAAAAAACTAATTGCACAGTTTGGTTGGAAATCGCGAGACGAACGTTTTGAGCCTAATTGGTCCATGATTGAACACTAATTGCTGATGTGGCGTGATGCCGTGGCCATGTGGGCATTCCTACGACGGCTGGAGCGTTTGATGTTACCAGCCAGACAGCCGGAATAGTTAATGGACACGTCCCTAGCAAGCTACCTACAGCAGCAGCTGACGCCGGGGTCAGATCATCAGGGCCTTGTTTAGATTACTCCCAAATTCCAAGTTTTTTCACTCTCTCTCCATCACATCAATTTTTAGCCGCTTGCATGGAGCATTAAATGTAGGTAAAAAAAATAACTAATTGCACAGTTTAGTTGGAAATCACGAGATGAATCTTTTGAACTTAGTTGGTCTACGATTGGACAATATTTACCAAATAAGACGAAAGTGCTACTATTCATCGGGTTGAAATTTTCTTCAATCTAAACAAGGCCCAGATCGATCTATCACTTCCTGACGCGGCACAGTGCGAGGTACGCCAGCAGCCGATAGCCGAAGAACATGGCGACGAGCGCGGCGACGCATGTGCCCGGCCCGGCCTCGCCGTCGACGGCCTCGGGCGGGAGCAGGCGCTTGAGGTGCCCGTCGTACTGCACGGCGATGAGTAGGCGGTAGCAGTAGTAGGTGAAGGACGTGTACTTGGCCCACACCATGAACCCCGGCACGTTGTGGACGTAGAACCCACCGGTGAGGAGGAACTCCAGCATGACCACTGTCACCAGCGTGGACATGCGCTTGGCGTCCATCATGACGGTGCCCACGGCGAGTCCCAGGCCCTCGGCGACGAGCACGTAGCCCAGTATCATGGCCAGCTGAGCGCGAACGCGGCGGGGGAAGGGTTGAGCGTGGCCATGAGGTACACCACGACGGTGAACGCCGTGGGCAGGGCGAGCTCCATGGGCAGGTTCCCTTCCATGTGCGACATGAAGTAGGAGGAGAGCGCGTACATCCCTGGCCATGATCTGGAAGATGCACAGCGACGTGAACGTCTCGTGCCGACGCTCCTTGAGGCTGCGCCGGAGCAGGATCATGAACTGGTTGCACCAGCTCGTGCCGGACCCGCTGTAGCTCTCCATCGGTGGACCCGTTCCAGAGGTCGGATACAATGCCTACGACGGCGGCGTTCCTGCGGAGCAGTGGCGCGAGGACGGCACTGGCGCCCCGGGCGGCGGTAGCGCGGGCGGCGCACGTGCACGCCCCAATGTCGTCGTCGGGCCGTGGCGGATGACCGCGTTCCAGAGGTGGAGGTGCTCGCCGAGGTGGAGGTGCTGGGCCACCTCCGGCACCGCAACATCGTCCGGCTGTTGGGGTGGTGCACCGACGGCGAGGCCACGCTGCTCCTCTACGAGTATATGCCGAACGGTAGCCTGGACGACCTCCTGCACGGTGCCGGCGCCGCGGGCAAGGCGGGGCTGGACTGGGATGCGCGGCACCGGATCGCGGTGGGCGTGGCGTAGGGCGTGAGCTACCTTCACCACGACTGCGTGCCGGCCGTGGCGCACCGCGACCTCAAGCCCAGCAACATCCTGCTCGACGCCGACATGGAGGCGCGCGTGGCCGACATGGAGGCGCCAAGGCGCTCCACGGCGCCGCGCCCATGTCCGTCGTCGCCGTGGTAGCTGCCGCTGCTGTTCATGTCGTTCGCGCGAGCGTGCCGTGCCACACGCACCCGCTGCTGGCGGACGTGGACGACCAGCTCCTGGCGCTGCGGTCATGGACGTCCAACCCGGGCCCCAAGTACCCGCTCTCGCTAGCGCACATGCGCGCGCTCCTCTGTGTGCTGGACGAGCTGCTGCACCTCCCACTGGCACAGGCCGCGCTGGCCAGCTCCCACACCGCCGGCGCCGACTACGATGGTACGTGCGGCGTGAATGGTCATCGTCTTCCACGCGCCCACGCCGCGGGACCTATCCGAGCAAGAAGAGCTGGCGCTCCAGTGCGCATTCACCCGGTTCCACGGCGAGCTCAACAGCTAGCTTTTTGCAGTAGCTGAGCACAGGGAAGCTAGCATCCGAGCATCCTCACCTGGCGCTGCTCTTGTTATCCCTAGAAGCGTCGACCTGACCACCTCCTCCTCTCACGGCGATGGCCGCAGCATCCGGTGCCGGCCTCCTGCCACCACCGTTGCCCATTGTCGTAGTACACACCGGCATGCCACGGTAGGCCAACGTGGTGTGCATTGCCGCCGGAGCTGCCGGTGCATGATGAGGTCTCGCCGCCGTCAAAAGCCCGTTGCCCCCACACGGAGGCGTGCTGTTGATGGCGCTGGCGCTGTGCAAGAGCGCGCCGCCAGTAGTGCTGCAGGCACTCGACCAATAGAGCAGCAGCTGCTGCTGCTCGGCCAGCTGCCTTCGCAGTGCGGCGTTCTCGGCGCGCAGCACGGCGTTGTCGCGGCGCAGGCAAGAGACCTTGCGGTAGCATCCGTCCGAGGGGTCGCGCTCCCGCCACCGGGCCTCCCAGGTGAGAGTCTCGGCGGCGCGGCGGCGGGCGCTGTCGCTGGCGTTGGCCTTGATGAGCTTGGTGAGGTTGGCCACCCCGAAGATGAGGTGCAGCGCGCGGAAGTCGTTCATCCTGTGCGCCGGAAAGTAGGCGGTCAGCAGTCCACGTCAGCATGAGAAACCCACGTAGAGGAGTATGGACCTAAGTGATACGACATATAAAGTTTATGGACCAAAAAATCATTTTGGAAGTTGATGGATCTAACCGAAACCTCCTCATAAATTAATGGACCTCTGGTGCATTTAACTCATTTTTCAATATACTGAGGAGAGCGCGAACCTCAGATTGCACCGGATTAATGAAAATCACCGCATCATCGGCGTAAAGCGACAGCCGCGGCTTGGCATTGCGCCCTCTCAATGGCGAAAGCGTGCCATCCAGGGTAGCTATATCCACTTATCCAGAACCCTCTGAAGTGTATCAATTGCAAGAATTTAAGTGTGGTGACAATGGGTCACCTTGCAGAAGTCCTCTTGCGTGACTCGTATATGAGGACAATGCTTGCACAAGTTAAATATGATTGTACAAGCATTTCTTTTAGTATATAGGATTGAACTTTTTAACGGAAGGAAATGGCTTATGATCCGTCTTTTTAGCTTGTTTTTTTTCAGCTGGAATATTGCTTTTCTCTCACAACAAATTAACCGGAACAATATTTCGACTTGTTTTTTCAGCGAAGCGAACGGGGCCACATATGCAGGATCTTGTCATAATCTGAAGTCCTCTAAGTCCTAATAGGACTGCTGCTTGACACCAGACACCAGTATTCATACTTCTTCGGTTCGCTTGATCGTTTCTGTGGCTTATAAATCGACTGATGCTGTTTTTATTGTGAGAGGAAAACACCGTTTTATAGCTGATAAGCATGGCTGATACGATCCGGCGAACATGGTGGATAGAGAAGTCTGAAAAGGCTTAAATGACAATCAATGCGACAATGCTTCGTCCTAACCTGTTCCAAGTCGTCTGAAACTTTCTACGAACTGACGAGACTTCGATACTTCTCAGCCGGCGGTGGCGGATGGTCCGCGGGCGTGCAACGACCAAATTAATCGCCCAACGGCCATCAATTTCATCACTTGACAGACAAGAGAAGATACACCAACCGACAACCGTACGTGCCGCTCCAACATGTCAAACGTGTCATCGTCCCCCGGACAGATCAGACACCGTGCCGTGGCTCGCGTCGGACGCTGCCGAGGACGTCGGATACAACATGGCGTACGAGTCAAACCCGTTGCTCTGCAGCGAAGCCATGGCGCCGAAATCCAGCTCCGTCGGGGACGGCTCCGGGAGCTCCAGGCTGCCTTCCAGGTAGCTCACGACCTCCGGCATGCTCGGCCTCGCACCGGGCGAGGCCTGCGTGCAGAGCAGCCCCAGCCTGAGCGCCAGGCTCGCCTCGCCGGCGTCGTACTCCCCCTGGAGCCTCGCGTCCACGCAGTCGCTGATCCTGCCTTCGGACCAGCGCCCGAGCACCCAGTCCACGAGCAGGACGCGGCCGCCGTCGCCGCGCGCGCCTTCCTCGATGGGCCGCCGCCCACACGTGACCTCCAGGAGGAACACCCCGAACGCGAACACGTCGGTGAGCGGCGTCGCCTTGGAGGTGCGCGCCAGCTCGGGGGCCAGGTACCCGATGGTGCCGACCACCCGCGTCGTCCGCGGGTTGCCGCCGTGGTCGTGCAGCCTGGCGAGCCCGAAGTCGCCCAGGTGCCCGGCCATCGCGTCGTCGAGGAGAACATTGCTCGCCTTGACGTCACGGTGGACGATCACCTGCTCGCAGTTGTTGTGGAGGTAGAAGAGGCCCAAGGCGACGTCTTTGATGACCCGGAAGCGCTTGCACCAGTCCAGAGTCGGCTTCCTCCCACGATCGTACAGAAACTTGTCGAGGCTTCCGTTAGGCATGTACTCGTACACCAGGAGGAGCTCGCCTCTCCGGCGGCAGTAGCCGAGCAGGCGGACGAGGTTCCGGTGCTGGAGGCGGCCGATGCTTGTGATCTCGGCGATGAACTCTTTGATCCCCTGGCGCGAGTCATGCGACACCCTCTTTACGGCCACCTGGAGTTTGGACACCGGGAGCACTCCCTTGTACACCTTCCCGAACCCGCCGGCGCCGAGCAGACGCCTGTCGTCGAACCCGCCGGTGGCGTGGAAGAGGTCCTTGTACGAGAACCGGCGCGGCCCGAACTCGTCCTCCCATTCCTCACGAAGCTCGGCGTACTTGACCCTTCTCCAACCGAACACAAACACGCTGGTGACCGCGGCGAGGACGAACGCCACGACGCCGATTGGCAGCGCTACCTCGAGGACCGTGTTTGACCGACCACCTCCGCCACCAGCTATCGGCGGCATCGGCAGCTTGGAGTAGTCGAGTGGAGGAGCTGATGATCCGTTCAAGGAAAAGCTCCAGCCAAGGATGCAGTGCCGCGACGACATGGAGCCCAGGGAGGAGGCAAAGCCGACGTACGACGTGTCCGTGATCACCGTCGAGAGGTCGACGGCATGGGAGAGAAGAGGCTTCTTGGGCTTCGGCATCCGCTGGGGTGCTAGCGTCACGTTGAGCTCCGTGCTCGGGCCATCATAGTCCACCCACACCTGCATGGCCTTGCCGCTGATCAGGCTCAAGTTATGGAGCACTCCACCGTCGTCGTAGTAAGCTGCCGAGGCGGCCTTCACAGACCTCAGCCCGTTTATGTCAATCCCGACGTGGTTGCTGTCCATGTCCCCGAACTCCACGTTGAGTACCGTGTCGAGCTCGACGGTGAAGACATGGTTGGTGGCGTTCCCGACATCGCTCGTGTTGAAGAGACCCATGAACTGGCTCGGCAACGTGTCCGTGAAGCTCTTGGTAGGGGCTATGAAGAAGGCGATGCCGTAGGCGCTCAGCTCGGCGTACTCCGAGAGGATGGCGAACACGAAGGTGGTCGAGAAGGAGAGCACGCTTCCACCGGCGCCCGATGGTGAGCGGAAGTGGAGCGGGGCTGGGTACACGCCGTGGCCTTTCATCAGGTACGTGCCGTTGGTGAGCACGAGGACGCCGTCCGGTGTGACCATGGCCGAGTCGTCGACGGTGAGGTTTGCACCGGCGAAGCCATTGAAGATGAAGTCGATGGCGCCGCCGGAGGAGTGCACAAGGTTGAGGCTAACGCAGAGGAGGAGCACAAGCAGTGGCATGGTGGATGTACAGAATAGGGCCTAAACTGAATGATGCTTTTTCGCATTAGTGTGCAATCTGCTATCGGCAATAGAAATGGCAGGTTGACATCACGGAGGACCCGACGTTGGACGAGTACGTTGCCTCGCTCGTCAGCAGTCGTATCACCACGCCTTCTCTTGAGCGCCAGTTGTCACCGCCGGTAGCCCCCCAACCACAGTTGAGGCCCCGGCAGTGACGCCCCCCAGTTGGAGGATGAGGACCCAGCGGCAATAGTCTCCGGTGCGTTGCGGACACCACCCCCGCGCCCTATTCACTAGGCTGTGGACTCACCCCCTCCCAATTCACCGTCGGTGGATACCCACCTGATTGAGGACAACGACGACTCCACCAAACGCCGCCTCGATAGCTTCACCAACGAAGTGG